GAATTCCAGTGCCTCAATTCTCATGCCTTTTTCGGTAATCTAGTATTTTTTTTTTGTGATCTTTACCGTAAATAACTACATACAATAAATAACTACGTATAGTAAATAACTTTACATATACTAAACTAAACCATATATATTCTTTTTGGTATTCATCTTAAATTGTACTTATTGTACTTTTTGTACTCTTTGTAATTGATCGTATTAGAATTCATCAATATAAACTTCCAGCGGTCGTGGAGTTACCATCTCAATTTTGCCACATATTTCTTTTTGCATTTTATCTCTCTTATTTTTTCGTGTTATTCATCATTTTTTATTCTAACAGCTAGTATCCAATAAAAAAATCAAAGAAACATAATGAAAAATCTAGAGATGATAATAATTTTGGAAATTTAGTCGAAGATATTAAGAATGCTCTAATCCTTTGTGTCAACAACTGAGTTGAATCTTGAATTTTGGATTTGGGTGCACTCATCTTGAAGAAAGGAACTATTTCAAAATTTTATTGACCAAAGAAGAATCTAATCTCTATTGGTTAGATGAATACCTTAGATTATATAGCAGAGTTAAAAAGTTTGTAGAAGATTGTGAAAGGTGTTATGGTAGTAGCCCGTGACATAAAATATGAAATAATATACACCACTGTAGGTTGTATAAACATGACTTCTATGACTGAGAGTGCTTTTAGTTCAAGTCTATGTCACAATAGACTTGTGACAAGAGTTTTGGACTTGGGCATATAACGTTAAAGGAATAAAGATATTGGTTGCAAAAGAAGTTTTAGAGGATAAATGAGTCAGCTTCACAAAAGCTGTCATCAAATCAAACGAAGTGCGGTTGAAAATGGTCCATATAGGTGTTTAGGACCATCTCTAGTTCCATCACTTGGTGGATCTTAGTTCTACGTAACCTTTATTGATGAATTCAGTAGGATGGTATGGCCGAAAAAGAGTATGACAAGTAACAAACTTAGGAATTAGAATTTTAAGTCATATTGAATTTCCCAGACTTATAGGTTGCTATGTATTTCGTGTTTTAAATTTATTTTATTATTGTTTTCAATTTCACTTATGAATTACTTTTTGAACACGTAAGACCATAACAATGTTTTCAACGAAGTATGTTTGTGTTGAAAGTTTATTGTTTAAACAATGATGTTTTACGAGTTATATTCCGCATATGAACTTAGATTAAAATGATAGTAGTAACTTTAGGTAGCTGAAATCTAGGGTCGTTACATATTTATTTTGATTTCTTGTGATGTTTCTAAACATTTTGTTCCTTGACCTCATCTTGAACTTCCGTTTCTACAACTCTCAATAAAATTCCACAATTTAAAATTTTAAAAGAAAAAGGGAGAGAATTAATCCTCATTGGCGCTGGACTGTTACAACATAAAACAAAAAAAACACAAGAGGATTGGATATTTCATTCAGTTCCGTGTATTTTCTTTATTTTTTCTTGCTCTCAACCCTTTTTGTTATTTTCTACAACACAAACATTTGAATAAGATAACATACACAATGTATTTTCTCAACTGCGAATACACAAACCACTGCAAATAATATGTATCCAAAATATTCAACCTTTTAAACCTCTCAAAGTCAAAGATTTAACCTTTTTACTGCTAAATCTTTTTACTGCCCAAGCCGAAGCTTTACCACCAAAAGAAGGAAGGGAATTACAATACAACAAAGAAAAACCACAGCCACCGTTGCAAGCAAAATGTACCATGCAATTTTTAAAGCATAAGAATTCCTATATGAGACATTTACCAACCAAACTCTGAGCAAGTAGCTTTCGTACAATTGTGGACAATATCAAAATGGTCATGTCAATAGAATCCTCAAATGTCAAACAAAGAAGTTACCCTCGAAGGTGTAGTCAAAAGTGACTCAAGTGTCGAACAAATGATGTAGTTTGTTCGAGGACTCTAGAGAAGGAGTCGAGACTCGATTAAGGGGAGGTAGTTTGAGGGCACCATAGACCTTAAGGGAGGCTCTATACTGTACTTCATTCGATGTGGGGATTGTTAGGAGAGAGACCTTCCTCAAATGTCGAACAAAGAAGTTACCCTCGAAGGTGTAGTCAAAGTGACTCAAGTGTCGAACAAATGATGTAGTTTGATCGAGGACTCTAGAGAAAGAGTCGAGCCTCGATTAAGGAGAGGTAGTTTGAGGGCACCATGGACCTTAAGGGAGGCTCTATACTGTACTTTGTCCGAGGTGGGGATTGTTAGGAGAGAGACCTATTTGATACCTATTTAAGCTACGGATAATAATTCTGAGTTTCATAAAATAATCAAATAAGAACTTAGTTTTTCTTCAACCAACCAACCAATTTAGTTACAATATCATACCTCAATTCATCTTAACATCATAGAAAAATCCAAAATGGTACCTCAATTCATCTTAACATCATAGAAAAATCCAAAATGGTATTTTTTCATTTGAGGTAGGGATTGTTAGGAGAGAGACCTATTTGATACCTATTTAAGCTACCGATAATAATTTTGTGTTTCATAAAATAATCAAATAAGAACTTAGTTTTTCTTCAACCAACCAACCAATTCAGTTATAATATCATGCCTCAATTCGTCTTAACATCATAGAAAAATTAAAAATGGTACCTCAGTTTGTCTCAACATTATAGAAAAATCTAAAATGGTATTTTCATTCTCATCGCTTTTGTTGAGGAATCCATAATCTTGTGGATCTTCAATCATTGTGAATTCAAAATGGTATTTTCATTCTCATCGCCTTTGTTGAGGAATCCATAATCTTGTGGATCTTCAATCATTGTGATCAACAATTTAAGAGCTTCCAAATGGTTGTGTTTTACGCATAAATGAAGAACAGATTGGCCATTGTGAATCTTAATCCAAGGAGATCTAGGCCTCGCATTGATCAACAGTGGTATGATATAAATTCGCCCATTAATCACTGTATGGTGGAGAGGAATCAACCCATTCAAATCACGAACCATGCAAGTGCTTGTGTTCTTCTCCAGCAAAGCTTGAACAATCTCGACTGTTCCAGTTTCGGAAGCCAAGTGGAGAGGTGTCCTTTGTAGGTCATCAACTTCTCCAGCAAGTTTAGGCTTGAGATTCAATAGAAATTGAGTGAATTCAAGATGGTGATGCAAAACTGAGACATGCAATGGACTCTCAACTTTGGCAGAGGAGATTAGAACTCTATGAATGATATTTAGGTCGCCTCGAATTAGTGTCTTCAAGCTTTATATTGACTCAATCTTTGATGCTTCATAGAGCTTTCTTTTACTTTCTTCAATAGAGGAAATGGCTAATCTAAGTTCTTTGTTTTCTCCGTTTGCCTCCATTATTGATTCTCTATAATTACTTCCATTTGGAAGTAAGAGTTTGTTGATTATTTATTTATTTATTTTTAATAGATTGTGAGGCTTCCAACTAAGTTACTTTTGAATTTTTAAAATAGTTCAATTATTACCCTCATTTCTTAGAAAAAAAAATTATTATTTATACTTTCACTCCAGAGGGACACCAAAGTGTCACCATCCTAATTTAAGTGAATGTGAAGCAAACGGAAGGAAACTTCTTTGTTGAATCATGGATAGATGTATATATCATTATTTATTTCACTTAATTTGATTGGGAAGCTATCGTTTCTCATCGGTAAGGATAATGCCTCTCGTGATTGTGATTAAGTTAAATTATACCACACTTGTTAAATTTAGAGATAGATTTTTATAGAACAGTTTCACTTTTACCCTTACATTTGTTTCAAAATAGTTCTTCGGTCAACATTTTCCTAATAACTAAAACGAAAAGTGATTTGATAATGTTGGGTTATGGAGTCTGTTGACTATTTATAATAAAAATATTTATATATAATAGGATGTTATATCTGTTAAAGTTATATACAGTAAATTGAAACCATATATATAACTCTTCAGTAGTGCTTTCATAAATATCGGATCCGTTGCTGATCATGAGTTCAATATGATTGTAAGTCAATTGAGTTCGGTGGAATTAATTTCGAGGATGAAAGTAAAGCATTGATTTTGATGTCATCTTTACTCGAGTCGTGGGATACTGTTGTTTTCGTGGCTAGTAGTTCTTGAGGATCTGAGAAACTGAAGTTTGATGAAATCCGAGATGTAGTTCTCAACGAAAGTATTCGCAAACGAGAAATTGAGGATTCTAATCGTAGTGCTCTTAGTCTTTGACCAAAGGGGAAGAAGTAGATCAAAGGGCTCAAAAAAATATCGATCAAAATCAAAGAACAGTGAAAATTTTTCAAACAGACCAAACGTGACGTGTTGGAGTTGTAGAAAAAAAAATCACTTTCGGACAAATTTTACAATACCAAAGAGGAAAAAAAATAACAAATCGAAGGATGATAATAATTCTATAAATTTAGCTGAAAATATTGGGAATGCTCTAATCCTCGGTGTGAATAGTCCAATTGAATCCTAGATTTTGGACTCTCCAAATAAATAGCTGTTTCAAAATTTCAAGTCTTGAAATTTTGAGGAGGTGTATCTTGTCGACAACAAAGATTTGGTGATTGAAGGAAAATGAGATGAAAGCATACAAACTCCAGCAGAAAATTAGTGGACATTAAGGGATGTCAGATATATTCGTGGTCTCAAGAAGAAGATGATCTCTATTGGTCAGTTGGATAGCACAGGTTATGCAGCCGAGTTTGGAAACAGTTCGTGGAAGATTGTGAAGGGTGCCATGGTGTTAGCACATTACATAAAATATAGAACCCTATACACCATACAGGGTGTATAAACATGGTTACTGTTGTTGATAGTGCTTCCAATTCAAGTCTATGACACAATAGACTTGGATATATGAGCGCGTCAAAAGAATGAAGATGCTGGCTGTGAAAGAAGTTTTACAAGACCTAAAATTTGTTCATACGAGTCTTTATGAGAGCTTCGTTATGGACAAACAAAAATGAGTTAGCTTCACAAATGCTGCTAGAGAACCAAAGAAAGTACGATTGGAAATGGTCTATACAAACGTTTTGGGACCATCTCCAGTTTCATCACTTGGTGAATCAAAGTCTACGTCACCTTCATCGATTATTTCAGCAGGAAGGTATGAGTTTATTTCCAGAAACACAAGTCAGATGTGTTTGCCACCTTGAAGATGTGGTAAGCTGAAGTTGAAAATCGAACCGGCTTGAATATCAAATGCTTGAGGTCTGTCTATTTTGTCAAAATATATTATTCAACGTCTAAAAAATCAAGTCGTGACTTCTAATATCATGCGTAATTTCTATGGTTTACCTTTTTTCCAAGATTTCTAGCATATTTTAAGGTCTGAAATCTTTTCTTTTTTTAATTTCTTTGTTTAAACCCTACCAACATGTGGGCAAGAGCCACCTTTTTTTTTAAGAGCTTTAGAAAATGAACAACAAAGGGAACACAAAACGGTTGGATATTTCGTTACTTAGGGTATTTTCTTTCTACTTTTGCTTGTTCTCAACACTTCTATGTTTTCCTTAGTATGAATACACACACCACCACAAATAATTTTCAACACTTCTCTGTGTAGATAAACATGCTTGATAGGCAGAACACAGCGTCGAACACCTAGAGCTAATACATACTGTATCATACAAAATACAAGCAAACAAGCTCAACGGAAGATAATATTCATAAATCACCCTGGATCCCAAATTACAATAGCTCATCCTCCTTTCTAACAAATCTAAGTGGTGTAGCGGAAGCTAGCTCATCCTCCTTTCTAACAAATCTGAGTGGTGTAGCGGAAGCTAGAGCGTGTGATATGACTCCTAAGCTTTACAAATTGCCGCCCACCATCAATACATTGCTTATTTTAAAAATGGGATTCGAACCCATGCCTTTTTGAAAAGCTTTTGGTTCCAAGTTACTCTATTCTGACTCCTCGACTCTTTCTTTATTCCTGGAATGTCTAGGAGTTGAAGAGGTTTATTGGATTCCTAGGCCAGCTAGGTTATTAACACAAGCTTTTTATTCCAGGTTACTCTATTTTGACTCCTCGACTCTTTCTTTAGTCCTGCAGTAATAAAGTCTATTTCCTCTTAGCGTCGCCACGATCCTAAGGTGCTTAGTCTAATGTACACATCTTGACCTAAGTCATCGTATAACCAACCTAACTCTTACACTCTAGTTCTGTGTAGATAAACATGCTAGATAGGGAGAACACACTATCAAACACTTGAAGCTAACACATACTGTATCATGCAAAATACAAGCAGACAAGCTCAATGGGAAGATAACATCCTTAAATCACCTGGAGCATAGATCACAATAGCTCATCCTCCTTTCTAGCAAATTAGACTGGCTCAGTGGAAGCGTGGTGGGCCTATAACCCATAGACAAAATTTAACTACTAACATTTTCAAATGACATCTCTCTTACGTTAATTTATTTTTTGAGATTAGTTTATTAATGTGTTGAAAATATATTTTATATTAAAGGGGGCGGGGACGGGACGGGATGATATTTCCAACCCCTTTTATCTAACGGAATAAAAATGTTCCCCACTCCTTCCCGTTTCTAGTCTAAACAGGAATCCCTCATCCAGGGGTAAAATACACATCTCTACTTATCATCCACCTTAACTAAGATAGTGATATTTTGTTTTCACTCTCCCATCGAAAATGTAAATAATGTTTTTTTTTTTTTTTAAAGAAAGTGATTGCAACAACTAAACTATTTAAATAACTCAAAATGTCAACTTTAATTTAGTTAAAAGCATCACCATATATTAGAAATAAATAAATAATTCGAACAAAAAATTGGCTTATAAATTCTATAGTAATACTCCATCTCAAAGTAAGCTAGATATTCAAAAATGGAGGCAGCTCATCAACAACTCACACAATCTTCCAATATTGCAAATGGATTAGCCATGTCGTCTATTGAAAAAAAGCAAACAATTGCTCTATGAAGCATCAAAGATCGGGTCCATTCAAAGCTTAGAAACACTAATTCAAAACAACTCGAATATCATTCAAAGAGTTCTAATCTCCTCTTACAACATCGAGACTCCATTGTACGTCTCGGTTTTGCATTGCCACCTTGAATTCACTCAATTTCTTTTAAATCTCATGCCTGAACTTGCTGGAGAAGTTGGTGCCCTGCAAAGGACACCTCTCCACTTAGCTTCTGAAAATGGAACTGTGGAGGTTGTTCAAGCTTTGCTAGAGAAAAACACAAGCACTTACATAGTTCGTGATTTGAATGGGTTGATTCCTCTCCATCATGCAGTGGTTAATGGAAGAATTGATATCATGCAACGGTTGATCAATGTGAGGCCACAATCTCTTTGGATGAAGCATCACAATGATGAAACTGTTCCAGCTTCTCCCCTCTCCTTTGTCTCACTGCTTGCTTCAGTCTCCTTCACCTTCAAACACTGGCAAATCAATCAAATAGCTTTCCCGAGTAAAAGAGTTCCGGTTCAGGTGATTGAGCGGCAAGCACAGGAGTTTTCTTGCTCTCGCTATCGTACGCCTTTACCCAAGCACTAACTAAGCCACTCTCGTTCTTTGGACCAACTTCTGACCGAACAAAATGAGTCACAAGGGCCGGGGCACAAGGGTCCTGGTACTATCCAGGTGCGAAGAACCACGGGGGTGACTGCAATGAGCAGAAATCTCACTCACCGGCCTAAACGACGAGCAAACACTCGAAAGAAGAAAGCTAGAAAGCAAGACTGATTCTCCTTCACCTATCGGTCTCATAGCTTCGGTCCTCTCCCTACTTTACTTACTCATTCAGCTGAACCTTTATTCCCTGAACAAGGTAAAGCCTTTCTCCTTCACTCAATCACCGCGGCATCACTGCTCTCTTAAGGGTACGATTTTTGTGAGAGTACTTTTTTATGCCCTTCCTTCTTTCACTCAAAGACTCGGTAAATGGAATAGGTCTTTGAATCTTCTGTCCTTTATAGTCGAGAAACTAAAAGAGATTAAGTAAAGCGACTGACTTTACCCTCGGTAAATGAATGAAAGACGAAAGAGTCATTCTCCGTAACCTTTACAGTCTTTGAATAAATAGGAAAAGAAAGAGAAGCTCATGAACCCGGAACCTGACAAGAATGAAAGAAGAAGCCAGAGTAAATGAAGACGCGGCTTTCCCTTGTTTACAGTTCAAGAAGAAGGAAGTTCTTGTTCGCCTCCCCCTATCTTGTTCATTTCCCGAGGGTTGAACTATTCAAACACTCTGTCTGAGTCTTCGCTCCTGGACTATTTATTACTGATGAACCTGATGGAACTCTGGAACAAGGTAAGTAAAGCGGCCGGATGAGAAGGAAGAAGGTCAAGCCAAGCTACTTCCCCTGAACCGATATTCCCTTCAAAATCAAGGAAAGACGAAAGACTCAACTCAAGATGAATGAAAGAGATTGAACAGTAAGGTAAGAAAAGAAGAAGNAGAAGAAAGCTAGAAAGCAAGACTGATTCTCCTTCACCTATCGGTCTCATAGCTTCGGTCCTCTCCCTACTTTACTTACTCATTCAGCTGAACCTTTATTCCCTGAACAAGGTAAAGCCTTTCTCCTTCACTCAATCACCGCGGGGTCAGGTTTGTTTGGCATCTATGCCCCCCTTCTTGTCTCGTTTAGTAGCATTACCTTCTCGTAATTAATCTGATTCTTCTTCTTAAAAATAAGGCCGATATTAGAGCCTGGATCAATATTGAAACTGACAATGAAACCGATAGGTGATTGAGCTTTCCCGAGTTCAACAAGAAGGTTCATTCGCCCGAACTCAATCACTTGTCCCTCCTATTTATTCCTGCTTTCTGACTCGCCCTGAACAGTAAAAGATCTCTACTGGGAAGATATATCAATATTGTTTTATTGTATTTCCATTTGTTGTTAGAGTTAGAGTTGTTGTTAGAGTTAGAGTTAGACGTTAGGGGAGTAGCTTTTATGTATAAAACACAACCATTTGGAAGCTCTTAAGTTGTTGATCATAATGATTGAAGATCCACAAACTCATGGATTTTTGAACGAACACGATGTGAATGAAAATACCATTTTAGATTTTTCTATGATGTTAAGACATATTGAGGTATTATTATAAAAGTTTAAGTTTATATTATAATTTTGTTGGTTTATATTATAATTTTTCTATGATGTTAAGACATACTGAGGTATTTTAATTTTTTTTTCACAATTTTTTTTTCCAATCATTTTCATATTTCTAATTTTGAGCCAAACTTTAAAAAAAAAATAATAAATAAAAAATTAAAAAATTAAAAAATATTTTCATTAGTTTTTATTTAAAATATTTTGGTTGAATTTTGAAAATATATGAAAAAGTAAATAACATAAAAAATAAAAATAAAAAATAAAAAATAAAAGCTTAAAATTAAATCTGTTTTTAAAAAAATTGATTTTTTTTCTCATAATTTTTAAAGATTTTTTATTTTTCTAAAAAAAAAATCTTATCTATGCAGACAGTAAGATATTTGTTGTCTATCCCCGTAATAAAAACGGGAAATAATACTTTGAACAATGAAGAACAATGCAATGACATAAGAAGTTTGTGGAGGAAGAGCTTTGAATATCAAGGCGATTGGCTTCAAGAAGTGCAAGGAACAATGATGTTGGTAGCAACGGTGATCGCAACGGTAGCTTTTCAAGGTGCAATCAACCCTCCTGGCGGTGTTTGGCAACAAGACATTCCTTTCAACTCTAATATCACTATTCATCGTTCGTTCCATAGTACAAATACTTTTAAAACATTCATAGCGGGAACTGCAATAATGGCCTACCCAGCTTCATGCCAAGGAAATTATTACACGGCTTATTTGGTTACAAATTCTATCTCATTCTTTGCAACAGTATGTGTGATTATGTTCATTATAGGTCGATTGCCTTTGAAAAATAGGATTTGTTCATGGTTATTAACAATAACCATGTGCGTTGCTATAGCAACCTTATCACATAGTTACATACTCGGAGTTTGGCTCGTAAATGCCTCATTTAGAAATTCGGATGCTTTAGAATTAACGTTTACAATAGCATGGTACATTTTGTTAGCAATGGTGGGAGTGGTTTCTCTTTGTTGTATTGTAATTCCTTTCCTTCTTTTGGTGGTGAAGCTTCTCGTTTGGGCAATAAAAGGTTGTATCTTTGGCTTTGTGGCATTTAGAGAGATCCACAACTTAAATAAAGATTGAGGGCTATACAAAAATTAGGTTAAGTTGTTTGTTTTATCTTATATTTTGTATATGGATTATTTGTGGTGTGTGTATTCGCTATAAAAAAAACATATTTTATGTATGTTATCTTATTTAAATATTTGTGGTATAAAATAACTCCAATGGGGTTCGTGACAAGTAATAAAATTGCTTGGATCTTTGAGGCTATCACAACCCAATTTTCGAGGCTGCGAAAAATTAGATTGAGACGAAAAGAAGAAAATGAATAAAATAAAAAACAAACAATTAATTGTAAAATTGTGCACGATTTAATATCAAACAATATGTATTGTTTTAGTTATTTACAAATGGGGAATGGGTACAGGAAAACCAATACAAACAACAATCCAAAAGAAATACAAAATAATATTGATGCCCCGAGTCGACACCCCTCTATGATAGTGCAACTCTTTAATACCTCTCCGCCTTGATTGGTACCTAAAAGAGAAAGGTGGAAATGGGTGAGTATAAAACACTTAGTAAGCAATCTACCTGTAAGCTCTCATCGGATCCTTAACCTAATATGTATCCACGGGCTTGTCGTAGGGTTCTAGGAAGTTTGCCACTAGTTTAGGTATTCCCTGAATGTTACATCACACCACAGTGGTGTCTACCACGAGCTATTCTATTTGTGTAGTCCCTTGTCTCCTCTTATAGTAAGTTTCCTCCACACAGAATAGTAGCTCCTCAATATACTACTATGTAGTATCTCGTCTACTCTCAGGTAGGTTGTACTACACATAATAATATATCCTCAATCAACTACCTATATAGTCCCTCGTCCCCTCTCATGGTGGGTTATCATACACACGATAGTGATTTCTCATGTTATTTATTTATATAGTCCCTTGTCCTTCTCTAGGTGGGTTATCATACCTACAATAGCAATTTCTCATGTCACCCACTTATGTAGTCCCTGTCCTCTCTCAGGCGGGTTATCATACATACAACGGTAGCTCCTTATATCATCTACTCACGTAGTCCCTCGTCCCCTATCAAGGCAGGCTCTACATCTGATAGTGGGTCTGTCGGTTGCTATTTATGTAGTCCTTCATCCCTTATCAGAGCATGTTATATCCTACACATAGTGACTTTTCAAATAGTTTCATTTGCATTACCGTTGATCTTATGTGTTCTCATAGTTCACCTTAGTGTTGTGGAGATATATTATGATATAGGGCATCTAGGTGGATTAGGTAACAACAAATTTTCAGGTCGCTCGGGGTTAGTTTCTCGTGGCTAAGCAAAATCTCGAGGTACACCTAGGTTTCTAATTGCCGCTCACGATCCCAAGGTAGTCAGTGTACTGAAAATATATTGACCTAAGATGTTGCATAACCACTCTTGTTATACTACTGTACTCACTCTGATTCATGCATGTTATACTAGGGAGATATTGTATCGATCACCTAATGCAAAGAAATCATGATCTCAACGTCCATGGTGGTTTACTAAGGGGATAATCCTATCGATCAAGTAAGCATAGGCAATTCATACATACATTTACCTGAATCTAGTATACAATTTAATCATACAAATAAAACATGCTAACGGGGAGATAACGTTCATCTAGCACCTAGAGAACAGATCACAATTTTCAAATCCTTCATTCTAGTGCACTAGAAAGCATTTAATAGACATGCATTCTCGTAAAATGACAGTTCTGTAATTTTTCTTCACAAACATGCACATCTATTCAGATTTTCTCATTTAAATTCTAAATATGCATATTCTAACCACCAAGTTAAGAGAACCTCGCATGCTAGCAGTCCTAGCGATTCCTACATGTATTACTTGGCCATAATTCATGTCGCTACTTACCGGGATGAAACTACTCTCCCTAGCTCAAGTTTCTAGACGTTGGAGGGTCTAAATTTCCTGAAATCTCAATGGTGGTTTCTCAACCAAGTTCAATAAGGATTAGTATCAAAGTTGAGACAAAAAACAATCGAACAGAGGTTGAACGCATAAAAAAGACATTGCACAATCAACTCACGTGCCTCATGCTTAGGTGTCATGCCTACAGGGGCAGAGAAGATGTGCCTCGAGGACGCCACGTGTTAGCGGCTGATTGGCAGGGTCGAGTCAGATAGCGAGCGATCGAATCCTGTTACAAACAAATTTTCCTTGGTTTTTCCTCCGTTGACACATGTCGCACGTGAGTTCGATAAGGTCGTCAGATGCAGGGGCGGCTCGTGGGTCGATCAAGCGAGTCAGATATACGGTTCAAGTTGGCTTGCGGGTTGGAGTGTTATGCATCACCTTTGTGTCTAGCTGCCTTGCTCCACCCGCAATGTACCACGTGTCGACTTGTGTGCCAGCCAGGACTCTCCACGTATTGAGCGACACACGTCTTACCTTGTTTTGCCTGAAAGATCACGATTTTCAAATTCTGATGAGTTTTTTAACTTTTTTATATTTTTCCTAAAAAATCTATCAATATTTGATTTCTTCCTTAAGTTTTAGAGTTATATTCCATCTCCATGAAGATATTTCTTCCTTGAAATTTTTTTGATAATCAAATATATGCAAAGTTATTTCAGATCAAAGTTGCCTAAAATCAACTTTCTTATCGTTTTTAGAGGCTTCTCAAAAACTTCTACTTCCAACATGATTGGATTTTGAATTCCTTCACAAAAAATGCGTGAAATGACTCCAAGATGGACTACTAAAATGACATAGACAATTTCCTTAATATGCCCATGAATTTTGAGAAGAATTTAGACCTAAAAACCCATAGCACTCATATTTGTTCTTTCTAGGTGCTTGGCGAAATCGAACAAATCTGAATGAAGCCCCTCTGCCTACTTTGAGTTTATTGTACCTAATTGGAGTGTTACCCTTTTTTCTTCTTCTTCCTCTTAAACCCTGCCCTCTCTTCCTTTCCCTTTTTTTCTTTCTTTTTTTCCAAGGCCTCCTCAGCTGGCAGCACATATTGTTGGTTGGCAACGGTCGAGTGTCTGTCTTTAATACCATTTATAGTAGTTCAAACCTACTACAATCAAGTATTATCTGTTTTGGCATATTACTTATTGTTGTTAGTCTCATGCTTTTAAAATGTGTCAGCTAGAAAAAGATTTCCACACTTTATTAAGAATGTTTCTCATCAATTGTTCAAATATATAAGTTTTTTTTGTCTTCTTTTAGTTAAATGATATTCATTTTAGTTATTAAGAAGTTTAGATTATATGTTTTTACATTTATAAAGGATTTAACTAATAAAAAGAACATAAATCTAAAAAAGCCACTTGCATGCAACCTGTCACAATCGCCTTTTCTTGGGAGCAAATTTGACGATTGTGCATCACTCACTCTCAGCACTGAGTGAATCAAGCCAACTTCAGATCACGTTGCCTACAGTTGGGCAACGTATATTCAAGCATTGGGACCTGATTTAAAAATAAGATTTTAGAAAACGGGGGAGAGAGGTTTTGGAAAAAGAGTTTTGAAAGCAAGAGTGAGAGAGAGAGAGATTGAGAGTGGTGTTATATAGCATGCAAGCAAAAATACAATAACAGTTTAAACAGTATATAACTTTTCTGGTATGCAAAATTTTTACACTAGTCATATCCCCTCCAGTACATTTTGAGGCATTTCATGTCTACCACGAGTAGCCATGATTTCGCCAAAACGTCATACTCTTAAAGAAACAAGAAGGAAATAATACAACATGAAAGCAGTAAAAGATAGCGATAAAGTAGTACAAGGCAAGGGTTTCGGCGTGTAACGGGCATGCGGTCATAGGCAACTCGCCTTGGACAAACAAGACCGTGACACAAAGCGTAGATTGAAAGTCTAATTTATAACATGACCTTTAGTATTAATAATACATAGTCAATGTTCTACACAAAATGGATAAAATAATGCTACGAAACATTCTGTCGTTGAATTTCTTATTTTCTTAGACCTTTTCAAAGTCTATTCTAGATTTTAAATAATCGAAAATAGAACATATTAATTACAATTCAATTGATTATGTAACGAATATGAACATAATTCTAAAAATATAGTTGCATGCCAAACCTGATTTGGAAGATTAATTTATAATATGATTTTTAATATTAATTATACATGACCCATATAATACTCAAAATGGATAGAATAATGTTTAGAAAAATGATTTCTAGTTGATGTTTCATTTTCATGATCTTTTCAAAGTCTCTTATATGTATTGTCTATGCCGGAGAGGAAACGTTTAGAATTAAACCATGGTTGAAATTTAGAATTAAAAATAAATATTAAACGAGGGTTGTAGTTAGTTAGTTAATTAATTGACAACCATGACGAGGGGTCTTGTCCTTGGTTCCGTATCGTGAAAGCAAGAAGCTCAATAATGCGGAAAGGAAATACACTTTCTCCGAAAAAGAAATGTTTGCGTCGTCTATTGCAGAGTCTGGAGGCGAATACTAGCCCACATTCAGTCAAGTAAGATTAGTGGGTTAATGCGCAACATCCCTATAACCCGAGCATTCATTGAAGATTTATACCTCTCCAAATAAGAATTAGGTTTGAACCCATGCCCTTTCAGACTGGTACTTGAAACAAGCGCCTTAGACCAACTCGACCATTTTGACTGACTTTTTCTATTTTATTTTGTAACAACTCAAGCCCGCCGCTAGCAGATATTGTCCACTATGGCCTATTATGTATTGCTGTAAACCTCGCGATTTAAAAAAAAAA